ACAAGGGCAAACAACAGGCAACATATTACGGTATTTTCTGATCTATGTTATAATGTTGTTTCCTCATCAAAAACATATCTGGAGTTGTGTTTTGTTTCTTTCACACATGTTTTACACACAAACCCTATATTTAGGCTGAGTTCTTCTCTCATACAGAAAACAGGAAACTCTGTACCACCTTGTGATGTCATGTGGTAATACAGGAAGTGCTCCACTGTGATTTCAAACTCCATCCTAGAATCATTTGGATGATTTTAGCCTAGCAGCCATCTCTAAAGAACAAAAGATCAAAGGTAGCTGTTAACTGTAACTACAACTACATGACTTCATGGAAAATTAGCATTTGAGCTTTGGAGATGTAGACAGACTAATAATAAAGATTTACTAATACATGTGTGAATGATACAAAACATAACTCCAGGTATGTTTTAATGAGGTAGCCGCATTATAACATTGATTGAAGATAACAATCCATTTTGTGTAATATCAAATCAAATCAAACTTTATTTATAAAGTGCTTTTCATACAAAACTGTAACACAGAGTGCTTTACAGTGATTAAAAACAATCCCACAATATAGATCTTTAATGAATTTTACAATGTAATACTAAAATAAATACATTCAGTAAATCTTATTCACATAATTAAAAAAATTACAAAATAATAGGAAACTATAAACCTGACTGAAAATGCTGACCTACCCCATGTACTTCAAAAAATCAAGTTATAGTGTTATAGTATTAGTATCAACCTTGTTGAGGTGGTAGCTAAGCAGGGTTGGACCTCGTTAGTACGTGGATGGGAGACTGCTAGGAATACCCTGTTACAAAGTGGGGCAGCAGGGGTTTTTCTGCATCCTGTTGTTGTGTCCTGTTGTAAGGCAAGGCAAGGCAAGTTTATTTGTATAGCACAATTCGTACACAAAGTAATTCAAAGTGCTTTACAGAATAAGAAATACATTAAAATCATAATAAAAACAAATCAAAACATAAATAATCATGAAGATTAAAATTAAAAAAGAGAGACATAAATTGGAGAGAAGAGTGCGGAATGAAAACCTTTCAGTTATATGCACAGTTGTATACAGTATATTCTTCACCCACCAAGCTGAGTGTTGGTGGTGGTCAGAGGAGCTGATGGTGCAGATTGGCAGCCTCGATTCCTCCGTCTATCTCAGGGCAGCTGTGGCTATATTATCTACCACTGAATCTGAGTGAATAATGCAATGTAAAGCACTTTGGGTATGTTGAAATGTTCAACTACATATCAAAAAGAGACAAAATAATTTGCCATAAAACTTTTTTTTTTTTTTTTTTGTCATAGCCCTACGCTGTAATTTATTGTGAAATGTTCAGTGTTCATGTGCACTAAGAAGTCAACAATGCACCAAGCTTTGTAGTCTGTATTGAACTTATTTGCTGTCATAATCAGCAACCCTGTGCAAAATAATACAACCCAAATTTCCCATGACAACTTCCATAATGAGGTGAATTTGTTCAAAGGGGTCTAAAAAGTACCTCCTACTAATCTACCATGATGTCAGTATTTTTTATTTTTCCCATTCCACAGTTGATTATAAAGTGTACTTTCTCTGAACTGGTTTGCAGATATTCTGGATTATGTTTTGACATTGTGCTCTAACACATGTTGCCGGTGACCTGCTTCATATTAATGCATGAGGGATTTTCTGTTTGGCCTGTAGCACGTTGGCGACCTCCCAGTCCACCCCCCACTCATCCACTCTTCCCCACCCCCCACCCCTCCCACTCACACACCGGTCTAGCCTCCGGGACACAGGGCTGCTTTCGGAAATCCTCATGATGGCTTAAAGGAGATGTCCTCATACAACGTGATGATAGTTATTGCAGATATGGAAATTACATGGAATATGATTTGTGTTGAAACAGGAGCATGCTGCGTTTCTATGGCTACAGAGAGGGGTCTGAAATAGCCACAGTGTAATGTTATATCATGCAGAATGTCAGTCACAAATCACACTGCAAAAAGAAATATTTACTTGTGAAAATGGCTTGAGTTTAAAATGTGAATTAGGGTTGCAAGTTTTGTAAATTAATTAAAATCGCAATTGGAACACAACTTACCATACCATGATCCAAACCAGAACTATCCTCTTATTTCAGCATAAAAAAGGCAAACTCTCTTTAGATCTGTATAAACATGCTTTGAATTGTGATTGTTGCATTTTTGTCAATTCTTCTGAACACATTTAATATGTGAACTTTGAACATATCGGTGGTCGCTCCTCTCTCTGTAACTACTGCTGACTCCTTCTCCTCGTTTCCCAGAGGTCACTCCTGCTAGAGTTACCAACACTTTTAACTGACAGCATTGCTAAGCATCTGCAACCTGCCATACCAGCATCCTTGCTCATGATTGGCTCTTTGGTTGCTATGATACTTTAGGTCATAATTTCAAATATAGCCCCTGCTCCAAATTATCCCCTATAACTCCAAGCCTTGATGAGCTACATTTGACCGGAGCTAAATGCTCTGCCCTCAGTCCATTTCTTTATACAGTCTATTTGTTTGAACTGAATCCTATTATTAAAATTCAAATTGAAAATCAGAAAACTCTAAATGACATTTTGCTCAAATTGTTCAGCCCCAATATGAATCTTGCTGTGACACCTGTTGCCTTAATATGTATTACAGGCGCAGTATGTAACTATACTAGTGAAGGGTCGAGCCTGATCACAAAATAACTGATTCACGAAAAGCTTTCACCACAATATCACATCATAATAGGATCACAGTTATATTTTCATATTTATATTGCCCATCTCTTCATGACAATAACAATCACAAAACTTTTCCAACAGTGCCAGTATTAGTGTGTGCTGTTCTCTTGTTGCTACGGCGATTCCCAGTCTACCGCTCGGTGACAGTCGTGATTGACCGACACGTTACAATTTGCTCAGTGTGAACCTTGGCTCCGCGGGGCCTCTGTGCATATTTAGGTCTCCAAATGGAAAGTAGCAGAAGTAAGTGAAAATGTGTCACTTCCAATGAGACAAACTCTAAGACAATAGTCACACATTAGCACAGAGGCCGTTAGCTGAGCGCCATCTGCCTCATTTAGGACTGAAGCAGCACCGAATGTGAGAGTGGAGGAGGAACTGTCCCTTTTATCATTGTAACACATTTAGTTTGTGTACTGTTGCCAACTACTCAAATATTATATCTGTAATACTTGTGCAAGTAATAAAATATAAAGAAATATATAAAGTAAGTATCATGCTTATAAATACATTTAAAATACATTTAAAAGAAGACTGGAATGAATGCAGAAAATTCATGTCTCTAATTTTAATATAAAGCCACTTAAAGTACAATATTTTTCAGCCTTGTTTATGTAAAAAGAAATATTTTAATATGTGGAGAAAATGTATTGTGTAAAGGTGCCCAGTGTTTTTGTCATGGTCTCCATGGAGATGTTCTTTCTTTGTCTGGAACATTTCATACTATGAAACTTATCTATACCACCATGGAAACAAGCAGGTGATGCCACCAGGGCAAGATAAAAGTCAGATCAGTGGAGTGGTAAGCAATAAAACTACTTACATAAATGCATTATGTTCTACATTTAATGGAAACATAATTACATCTGAAAGAACAAGTGGTAGGTGGCAGACCATCCATTAGAAAAGTTACTAGTGCATCTTTAAATATTATTATAGTAAAAAGTGGTATGATAAAATATAGTGTCTGTTGTTCCCTCTAGGTCTAGACTCTGATTGAGGTAAAAAGCATTTTCATCAGAATAAATCTGAATAATGAAGTGGTCACCCACTGAGAAAAGAAGAAAACTGCAGAGTTTATGATGCAATTAGACATAACTTTAGAGGCTAAAGTTTGTCTATTTTTAGTGATGATTTAGTCGACTGCAGAAACAGAATATGGTTTTAAGCATCATGGACATGGGATAACTTCACATAAATCAAAATGACCATTAAGGCTTTTTCAAATATGTATTAATGTAACAGAGACTGAAAGTTTCCAGCAGGCCTGGAGGTTTAATTCTGCTGCTCTTTATCTGTGCTTTTTATTGATAATTTTATAATAGTTTATAATTTTTGAGGCAGAAACATTTGTCATTGTTGTTTAAAAAAGAAAGACAAAATCATCCTTTTCAACTGTCTTGATAACTGGAGACATCTAGGTGCTAAAACTTAATGGCACTTTTCTATTAGAGGTGTTTTTATTGCTCAAAAATGCTTTGGAAAAACATACATTCTTACTGTGAGCAAGGTCTCCTTTTCACTGATCTAACTTGTAATCTCTCACAGATGAATGATATTGTTGTGTACCTGGGCAAGACATTTAACCCACCTTGCCCCCAGTGTCTGCGTACACTGGTGTATGTGTGTGTGTGTGTGTGTGTGAATGGGTGAGTTTTTCCTTGTTGCAAAGAGATTTGATTGCCTCAAAGGTGGAAAAGTGTTATATAACTATACTATGTAACTAATATACTATGTGACTATAGTACTAGGGTGGAACATTCTAGGCAACCAATAAGAAATCTTTCACTGTATTTCCAGCATTTTATCTTTGGTAATTCATACCTGTTTTGGATTGTGCTCTTTCTATAGGCTGTATATGTATATATAAATGGACTTACCAAACATACTAGTCATTGCCTTCCAAATTGTGAGACTCCAGCTCCAGTTCACTTTGTATTGAAAAAATGTCACCCTCTCTCGATAACTGTGAGTTTCAGGCTACTCAGTTTAGTCTTAAAATGTTCATATTAACCTGCTCTACATGATACTGGTGTTTTTATTTTGATATTTTGTCCGCTCCAAATTCACTCTTATCACTGCTACCCTCTGTGCGCTTCATTTGACTGGAGCTGAACACTATGGGTGACGTCACAGTCCTTTAGTCCACTTCTTTATACAGTCTATGGCTCTTTAATATTCATTGTTGTATCCCACCAGTGAATGATGCAATGCCTTTTTTTTTCTGTTCGTTTTTTTGCAGAGTCTCGGACGAATGGCTCCAGCTTCATCAGAGCAGCCACAGCTCTGAGTGAGTCTTCGTCCATTCACAGCGATGGCCTGTTTCATTTGGCGCAGGACCTATCTGGGCTGGGACTGGAGCCTATGCCCTCCAACATCCTCGAACCCATCACACTCAAAGAGGAGCCCTGGTTGGAGGAAACCCAGAGACTTCTAGAAGTAATCACATATTTTATTCATTTGTGTGGCCGAGCATGACAAAAGATAATAACTAGCAGTCAAAAGTTTGGACACACCCTCTCATTCATTAAAAAAAAAGACAGAAAATAAGACAGATTATAACACAGGCGCTGACTGCATTTTCCCAATAGTCCGGCAACACAAAGAGAAAATCACATCAATTAATTAATCAAGCAGAAATGTGTCTAGAGCCTTGGTAATATTATTTTTTACCCATTACACTGTTTACATTTTTTAAACAAAGTTTCTATTTTAAAACACATATTTCAAGGCAATTCCTGCTATTGCAATGTCCAACACAGCAGCATAGTTAGTTTTTTGTGCACTAAAACAGACATAGCAATACATTTTTGGGTTTAGTCTCATTAGTGTTGGTGAGTGTTCCCAAATTATTTTCTTGTTCCCCATAAAAATGAGGAGCAAAGTTTCTTGTGATTTCAAAGAATTGCATCACTTTTATGACTGGGCAGAAAGTCGGGAACTCTTATTGAAGCAACTCTTCTGTGTTAATAGTCAAAATAACAATCTTAAAGCAACGTTTGTCTGAGAATCGTGTTTCAAAACCGCTAACATATAACTCAGACTACTGGTAGAAAGTGTCGTAATATGGGCATTGTTTTGCAATAGAGACACTTCTAATGTCAACTGACAGCCATTCAATCTGCAGGATGGTGTTTACTGAACATAAGCACAGTATACAAGTAAATCAGAACAGAAGTCGAACAATACCTCTTGGACAGATAAATTAAAGATGCAGTATGTAACTTTTCGATTGGCAGTTCGTCACCATCTTGTTTCTAAAAATATTAAACAGATCTACCTTGCGTTTATTTAATTGCATGTGGGTTTATTGCTCAAAAAGATATAGACAAACAGGTATTCTGACTGTGCTTCTTCACAGATCTGACTAGTAACTCTCTATGATGACAGAAAGGTTTAATTCCACCTAGTGAATCAATAACATCTCCATGGACAAAAGTAAGCAGCAGACCCTCCACCAGAAAGATTACACAATGTAACTTTAACATAAATACTGAACCAAAAAGACTAGCATTAAATTTATGAATAGCTACCAGCATTAAAATTATGAATAGCTACAACTGACTGCTAATGATGTGATCCATTCTATCGCATTTGAAAATCACTGAACGTGATGCACAAACATGCATCTCTATTTCATTTTCGTGGAAATAAGATAACCAAAAAGATCAGATTTGTAAATACTACTGGGAAAGCCCTTGTTTGATTTGGTCTAGATGAGCATCCTGACGAGGCAACAGTACTGCCCACTCGCTCTCTCTGCACTGTAAAAATCTCCATAGGCAAATAACAAAATCATTCGAGCCAGTGCGCCGGGAGCTTAAGTTAGGTAAGTAAAGCCTCAAATTTGTTTGAGGCAGTGGGAGAGTAGCTCTAGATAATTCCTAAACTGTTTCCAATCTATTCTAAAGACCAAAGACCAAAAGGCAAAGCAGTGAATGGACAGATTTGAACATAAAATGACCACCTTGTGGATCTAGTCTAACTCTAAACTAGGACTAAATCTCATTTGAAAGACTATAACAGGGCAGTCTTATGAAAAGTGTTTACCAAAACCTATAGCTACAGAACATGGATTACTACTTTAATAGGCTTTTCAGAACTAATTTTCAGATTTGTAAAAATAAAAAAATAAAAATTTGAAAAAGAAACTCGATCTTCTTTACCTTTAGCTTCTTCTCTGTACCTGTTCTTGTCCACTGATCCTCCACAGTTCGGGGCTCGTTTCACTTCAGTCCACCCACTTTGATCGCTGTGCGCAGTTTTACAGTGTGGAGCGCTAGCGCCCACAGCGCGCAGAGACGCACTCACTGTCTCCAGTGGGATAGATGGAGAGCGGCTCTGGTACAGGCAGCACAGCACTCTGCTCCTCTCCAACTCACTCTGAAGCTGCTACGAGCCAAACCATGCTCACTTTTTACGCACCCTTCGTACCAATCCATGGATTACCAGGAGAGATCTTAGCCAGTGTTTACGCGTGGGATGTTAGTGATGGAGATGGTGAAGATTAAGCGATGTTTTTACCCCTTGCAGGACACACTGTTTGATGCACTTTTGTGTCTTTCTGTCTTTTTCAAAGCCTAACAACATGCAGATCTCTCCGAGTGAAGACAAGATACCTGTAAGTAAACATTCAGTGTCATTTGAGCTGAGTTTCCTCATTTGTCACGTTGTTAGTTCTTAGAAGTTACACAGCTATACCGAACCATATTAGACAAATTTCTAACCTCCCAAATGTATGTGAAATGTACATGTAATAACAATTTTACTTTTTGAAATGTCTAAAAACCAAGTGGGCTAGTTGGCTTTAGCTTACATATAGCTAGTCTGAGTGCCACAGGGAACCCTCCGGGGAGCTGTCCCTGGTGCGCACTTTCTAAGAACTCCAGTTCCATTCTGTTCCGTGTCCGTAAAATAAAATGTCAGGAGACTATGATTCCATGGTTCCATTGTTTATTGCTGAAGCAGCAGTAGCAGGTTACTGACCTCAACATTTGCAAATTATATGACTGCATGTGAAATTATTTGCTTGTGATTACATTTATTTAATTTTCAATCAGAAGCCATTTTATTTTGTGGACTGCTAAACCTAATGAGGACGAGAATAAATAAAGACTTATAATTTATCTTACATGGACGTGCAGCCCTTAAGCAAGCCTATTTTAATGTGAATTTAACTATTAAAGCTGCTTAATTAATAATATCTGGGTGATGCCAGTAAATAAAAAGTTACCAGACAAAAGATTACAACAAGTGTTACTAAGAACACCCTGCATAGTATTTTTTCTATACATGTGGTGGATTTGACAATTTCACAGTTTAAAATTGTAACTTAATTTTAAATATTCATTCTTTAAATTGGTCTACTTCTTTACAATCCTGCTGGTCTATAAAACATCAAAAGTCCATAAAACAAATATAGTTCTAGCAGTATTTAGTTAGACATGTAAAAATATTAGTCATAATATAAGCTACAGGCTGTTACATTTGTCTAGACAGGTGCTTTCACATGTGCAGACACACCAAATAAAAAGTGCGATTTAAATAGGTTTAATGAAACTAAACGAGGACTAGATTAGAACTAAACCAGAAGCAGACCAGGACCTGACCAGGACTAAACTCTAAAGGTTTGAATGCGGTCCATGTTAGCAAATGTGTATGCATATGCTACATAAAAAAAAAAAAAAGTATTGCTGGAACAATTTTCATTCCCTTCGTTACACAATGACAAATGGAAATGGTTGCTACTGAATGTGCTTCCATAGCAACACTTTCTATGGTTATCCCAGTCTCTGCTTAGGACTCAAATGTAAGTCATTATTACAGCCTACAGGAGTTACAGGTGGCTTCTACTTTTCTATTATCCACAATTATATTCTCTGTACAAGAGCTACTGTACATTGTTAGCACATAATGTCACAGTACAGCACCTTACAATAGGGAAAATGGCAGAGCTCGCACAGGATGTATTGAATTTGAGTGTGCTAGTGTTTAGTCTCCTCTCTACTCTGCCTTTGTCTAAATAAAGACTGAAGAGTCAGAGGTGAACCTGCTGCCCACTCTGCCGCTAAGATTTAGATTGTTTTTTCCAGACCCAAATGCCACTTTATATATTCACTACAGCTCAGGGAAAACTGTGCTACTGTGGCTTATATATTTTATAAACCATCTGCTAAACATTTGACTAGCTACAACTGATGATTACAAAAAAAACCCCAAAACAGAACAAAACATAAAACATCATTGAGCAATATTTGATATGAAATCATATATATTATACTATGTAACATTTTCTGCTCGATGCTATATTCACAAAAATATTATTGCAAGACTTGTGATACTGTATTATATTATTATTAAAATAATTTGCTGTCCTAAATTGACAATTAAAGTGTTTAAAACATCACAATATTGTATTACATCCTGACACGGTTTTAAATAGAGAAGTAAATCATAAACAAATACAGTATAAATATTATGTAAATATTTTTAGAATGTCATTGATGTTAAAAGCAACATCAATGACCAAGTTACTAGTCTAAAGTAATAACCTGTAGTTTAAAAGGCGTAGCATTTTAATGGTGTATCATTTTAACCAACCCTCCTTATAATCTACATAGTCTAACTGAACATTTTTCTCAACTTTCTTAACTCTCTTCGGTCCTGCAGGTGGTGGGTTCACCCGAGAGCCACAGGTACAGCGGTGAGGGCCTTTTCTTCTCGGATGGCCAACGTAAAGTGGACTACGTTTTAGTTTTCCACCACAGGAGACACGGTTCTATACGCATCTCCAGCACCCATGACCAGCTCTCTGTGGTGTCCAATGGGAACTTCCCCTCATCTGTGGCCTCAGAGGGGGCAGAGAGGAGAGGCATGGGGGTGCCCGGGGGCCCTCCTGCCAGTGTGGGGGAGGTGCTGATGGAGCTGGGAGCTGCGGAGAGCCAGGAGAATGTGGAGCCTGTGGACCAAGAGATGAGACTGATCAGACAAGAGTTTGAGGCCAGTCTGATGGAGGCAGGACTCGAGATCGAGCGGGACAAAGAGGTGAGAGCTACTGTGGTTAAACATTTAAATGAAAAAGTTTAGGTCCTATATTACACAAAATTGACTCTTCTGAGCTTTAAGCCTTGTTAGAATCGTGTTGCCTCATTAAAAACATGCCTGAAATTGAGTTGTGTTGAAGTAATCCTTTCATCTGTGTACATCTCCAGAGCCCTTCCACCTTTTGATGTAATGAAGCAGTAGTTTTGAAGTTAACAGTTACCTATTACCTTTAATTCAGTAGAAACTGGAAACTCCAGGGCTGAAATGATCCAAATGATTCTAGTGAAGGTGTTTGGAGTTTTCTTATTCTTATGGAGGACGCAAACCAAAGCAGGCATGTGCAAGGGTTTTTCATTATGTTGAAACCTATACAGACTGGAGGATCTTAGATGTGTGGTTAAGGGAGACAGTAAATCATTCAACTGAACAACAACTAGCATGCTAACATCGCACCAGCACTATTTCCTGGTTCTCAGAAGATAAAAAACTTCATAATTTGATGCAGACAGTACCCAACAGTTTCATTTTGACTGTCAGAGCTCCTTGTACAGAGCTCTGCACTGTGGTACAACACATTTGACTGATAATTTATTAATATTTTATTATTAATTGGGCCACTATACTTTTATTAAGACTTAGAAGTTAGAACCTTAAAATCCAGTCTGTCTTACAAGATAGTTATATTGAAATTTTGATACTAATGCATGAAAACCATAACTGATGGAAGTTTGGCCAGTTCTTCTGAGGGCAGCATTTGACCACTAGGTTGTCGGTTGGACTCCCTTTGTCTATAGTGTTGGGATACAGAAATATCATTACTTTTTTTCTCAAGCTAATTATAGGGATACATGGTTTCATCTGATAGTTTTGTCAGTGACATGAATTTGGTTCAGTATTATCATTTATTATCTATATTGGCCTTAGTATACGTCACACTTCAAAATGTGTTGCCAAAAATGTGTGACAGGTCTAAGCCTGTCACGATAAATAATATTTCGACTTATCGTTCAATGCATCATAGATGGAACAATAATTTTTGGTGACCATTATTTATCGTGCGTATTTTTTCTTTGTACCAGTGGGTAATTTTTGGTATTTTTTTGCAATATGATCAGATTTGAGCTGTAGAGGTTTGAATTGTGAGTCATTTTAGATTATAGATTTTCTATGACTCATATAGATTATAGATTTTGGACAATTCTGCTTTGTGGTTTTGTTTCAGTATTATTGTTTATCATCTATATTTTCTTCAGCAATATATTGCATTTCAGTATTTGTTATCATGACATGCCTACCTATTTGAAAGGTTGACATTATGTATTTGTTTTGGGCAAAGTTGTTGCAGAGAAGTCAACATTCAACTAACTTTAGTTACAACTGACCTAGTACATTGCCTCCAGCTTGTTAAAATGATCAACACCCAGTTCCTCGAATGTTCAGTAAGCCACAGTCAGACAGAGCTCCCATTTCACAGCAGCGTTAATGAGGCGTAACCAACTCAGTCGCAACAGGCACGTGTGAAAACAATACAACCCAGAGATGCTATTTTGAACATGATATTGCAATTTTAAGATTGTATTATGGTAACTTTATCTATATGGAAATGCTTTGATATTGTGGTGATATTACTGCGGAACGTAATCCATGGATTACATTAGCACTATGACCTGGATGGGTGTGAACGGTGACTCACTGAAACAGGTGTCAGTTTTAGGGTTTCTGCCAAGGTGTCACATGGGGACTACAGCAGTTCAGTTCGGTTCATTTGTGATTTGTGATACAGGAGATGTCGAGATTAGTTGGTTGATCGATAATTGTGATTTTTGAGGTTGTAATACTGAATCAAAATGACAAAAAATGTATAGAGGGACTTTTAATCTGGCTATTTTTTATTGTTCAGCTTCTAGTAAAGTTTTATAAAGCTGGTCACACATCAAAGGAATGATGAGCTAAAAGGAGTTCACTGTTGCTAGGCTATAATGAATCTGTAATTGTGAATAATCATAAAATTGCAATGTCTAGAATAAATTTTTGATACATGATTCATATTCTACTAAAAATGAGCAAATACTAGTACAATTTCTGTCCTTTTTACTGATGCTGATAAATAATTTGTTCATGTTTCCTTTCTATTTTTCCTATTTACTACTTTGTACAAAGATATTACTGTTATGTGAAGTAAAGTGTAACCATGGCATTCAGAAAAGGTTGTTTTAAGATTGTTCCTCACCAGGAGTAAATCTTGTGACTGGAGATCTTGTCCCTTTTCCTCTGTGAATGGATGTGAGAGTGAATGGTCATCCGTCTGTGCCTGTGTGGTAGCCCTGCGACCAACTGACAACTGCAAACAAATGAGTCAGTGTGAGCCGTTTGGACTGGAGTCTTGCAAAGCTGAGAGGTTCTGTTGAAATCATTCTGTTGAATTAATTAAATTCATGTCTGAAGAAAGGCTTGACCCCGAAATGTCACATTGTGGTGCTATTAAAATAACAATTTGGGAGCTCCAAGAAACTACTGTGTGAATCTGCTTTTCCGTAAGTTTTGTTGAATTCCCAAAAATGTCTGACTTCAAAGTTTAATCTCAAGATATACATACATTAAAGGTCCTATATTATTCAAAATGGTCTCCTCAAAAATATACCTAGTTGTGTGTGTGTGTGTTTTTTTCTCTATTGAATAACTTGTTATTATTAGTCTGTCTACATCCCTAAAGCTCAAAATACTCTGTACACCTTGTGATGTCATAAAGTTGTAGTTTTCAAGGATACTTTTAAGGTATCAGCTACTTTTACCTTTTGTCTTGTAGAGATTCCAGGGCTGAATTTATCGAGATGATTCTAGTGAAGCTGTATGGAGTTTAAAACACAGTGGGGCACTTCCTGTAGGACATGACATCACAAGGTGGGAAAGAGTGTTTTTAGTTCAGCTCAGAAGAACCTAAATATGCAAGATTTGTGTATTAAACGTGTGAGCGAAACAAAACACAACTCCAGGCATGTTTGTGATGAGGAAACAACATTATGATAGATCAGAAAATAGTGTAATCTGGGCCCTTTATTTGTCATTATAAAGAGTAAATTGATGCTGATGAATGGGATGCCCTTCTGGCCCCTGTTAGCGCCTGACACTGGCTGCAGTGACTTTAACAGCTTTGACCCACTTTGTATTGATTTTCTCATTCTCAGGAAAGTGGCAATTTCTGGTTTGATTTTCACAGTTTCAGGCAGTAACAGGTATAAGACAGAAGAAAGAAAAGCAGAAGAAAATCCATTGTTAATGGTTACTGAGTGAATTAATCCAGTCTAATAGTGGGCAAGGCATTTCTGATTCTGGAGGTAAAATTCCTGCTGGTATCAGATATTAGCGCAGATATTGAAAAATTTACTGGACCAGATATCGACTATCAGCAAATATTGGTTCAGTCAATATCCAGTTTGGAATTATAAAATGATTTAATTAATAAGACTGGTCATAGTTGGCCTAGAAAGTCTCTTTTAGTCACAAAGTTGTTTTGTCATTAATTGTGGAATGAATACCAGAAAACACATTTAAATAATGTAATGAAATAAATGCTGTCTCTTCACTGGTATTTGTTGATATCAGGTATCTACAGATTCTTAAAGCAATAGTATCGGAATCAGTATCAGTGGATCCCTAAAAATACCTAGATATTTTCCCTATAGGCTTTACTAAAAAGTTAATATATATTTTTTGTATTTTGTATCTCATGGACATAAAACATAGAATTCAATTATAAAGGGAAAATTCTGAAACACTATAAACCATGAAATTGCCTTGTAGTTACTGCTTACCACATTATCCTCCTTCAGACTCTAAATATGCAATGGGAGAAATGAATGAGAATTTGATTTCCGGAGCTAAATCCTGCCCACAGTAACAGGTACTAAATGTTATGACTGACTGCTGTATTACATAACCCAGGCAGGTATGTGAAAGGACCCTCTTTAGCTGCGCCCATGTGACCGTCTGTGCGGGCGTTGGTTGGCACCCAGCTGGCAGACTCCGTGCTCTGTGGCAGTTCTCATCAGATTGTTGACAGTGTGGCAATGAAGTCTAAGCCCGGATCAGATTAGCTGTGACTCTGATAGCTCCTTATCTCCTCCCATGGATTCAATGGGACTGGATCGAATCACTACAGGGAGTCAATGGAGACAACAATGCATTGTAATAACTTTAGATTTTCCTGATTAAATATGCCCATGAGAGTAACGTTAAGATCAGTTAAAGCGTGGTGCGTTGAATGGTGGAACAGAGAAACAGAACACTGCTCATTGGGCTCGATTAAAGTGCGTATTACATCTCAGCAATGCCTTCAATAGGCTCTATACACGCTCACGTCACAAATGAGGAAGATGTTTGGAAAGATGTGATTACAACTTCCGGTGGACTCTGTTCGCAGGAGTAGTAAGTCTCACAAAATCTAGGAAAAAATAGGAAATGGCCCAGTTTTGTCATCTAAATGTCACTGTAGAGTAATAGTCTAACAGAAAAAGTGTAGAAGGCAATAAGAAAACACAATATCAACACACCAGTGAAACCATACTGAAAACTCAGGCAATTTCTCATCTACCCAAAAGACAAAATAGAACTATAAAACTATAAAATAGAGTATAAATGTAAAGTCATATACAAAATACCCTGCATGTCCTGCAATAAAACATACCAGCATATCAGAGAAAAAGAGAGGGCATTCAGTCCATGAAAAAAGAAACATAGGACAGGATGCGAGAAGGAAATGGTGAAAGCGTGCACATGAGCAACAAAACACAAAGTAGAACAGGAACAACTCAAATCGGCCATTTCTAACCACTGTAAAACAGAGAACCACATTATGGACTGGGACGGAGCAAACATAATTTGGACAGAGGAAAACAAACACGGTCGCTTAATTAAAGAGGCAATAGAAATACAGAAACGTGCCCATAGGACTACAAACCAGGATGAGGAGGCTTTTTTACTCTCACACCTGGGATACCCTC